TCTCGTGTCTATTAAAGTATTCATCAAAGGAACATTCAGGAACTTGTTGTCTATTGTTGTTAGAAACAAGCAATTTACAGCAACTAGTAGAACAAATTGTTTCAGCCGAATAAACTCAATTTGGAGGAACATTTTAGCTTTGCTCCAGTTATTGAGATAACGATTTGTTTCCGCAACTTACTGTATCCACCAGAACAATAAAAGTCGCATTCCGTAAATTGCTTGATAAAATCCTCAACACATTTTATTACAGTTAAAATCTGTATTTTACAATTTATATAATTCGAAATACATATTTGCATTTTACTTTCATACAAATTACATAAATCAGTATACAACGCTTTTAATACGCACTAACGCGTGTCTAATCAAAGTTGGCTGTGAGACATTTTTTGAACACCGTATTTAAGAAAATTTATTTTAAAAGACTTTCCGCGAAACACAAACCAACAGTAATAACATTACTTCAAATATTGTATATAACTGTTATGTGCAACATGTGTCACATTATATTATATTGTTGAGAGGAAAATTATAACATTGCTGTCAATTTGTGTTCTGTAATGACGTCTTTAGGACATATTATGTCTGTCTGAGATCGTTCATGTTTTCCCGAGGATACTAGATCGTTATTGCGGAGGATCGTCCTGTCCGTTCACTTTTATGATCGTCCGTCTATCGTTGTCCTGGTCATTCGATATTTTTCACGTTGGCGACAGTAACGGTAGTGATGGCGATGGCAATGGTGATAGGCAGCGGCAGCGATGGTGGCAATTGCGACCGGTAACGATGGTGGTGGTGGTGGCGGCGACGGTGGCGGATGGTGGCGATCGCGTGGTGGTGGTCCCGCATTCTGGCGAAAGGGAAAATACCTGGTCGAGTGGCTCTTTTTTTTTTCTTTTTCCCTCCCGGCTGGCGAGCGGGATTTTTGACACGACGTTCGACCGTACTTGCATTTGTCTCGGAGCGCTCTATCCGATCGTCGTCGTCCTCGAACAACGTCCCTCGTGCAACGAACGCGCGAAAAATCGGCGCATCCGAAAATGCGTCACGTGCGACGTCCCGTCTGACCCTCGTCTTACCTCGTCGTTTCGATATCGCGCGCGAATTCTGTGATCTCGACCGGAATCTTTTCTCTTTTTATTCTTTTCTCTCTCGGAGTGCCGCGTGGAGTTGAGCATCGAGTCCGCGAACTTTTACCTCGACCGTTTCGAAATTTCGATCGAAGAGTGCCGCTCGTCCTGTTTTCGGCAGGAAACAGCTGCGCTGATTTATTTATTTCTCCGACTTGTTAAAGTTTCTCTTTGGTTTTAATTCGCCATCGGAGAAAGTATTACGGACTGTCGGGGCGAATTGTGCTGTGGTGGCTCGGAAATGAGACATAGGATTAGACACGACTGAGCAGCTGCAAGGTGAGCGTGGAAATCCGAATTGTGTGCTCGTCTAATTGTGCGCTGCGGAACTTCCGCGTCAAGTGGATTTAGCTTCCGCGCACAAATTTCCGTAAACACCCAGAAAGAATGGATTTTCTAAAAATTTTGACTAGATATAGATCTGAAAAATAATTTTGTTGTATTATCAAAATAATTTGTAGAAAACTCAAGCATAATGCTGTAAAAATATTTAACGTTCTAGCAACGAATTTTTATGCGTTCTACATAATTATATGATCCAATAAAATTCTTTTCAGATCACTCGGATACTTTATTAAAATCTATTTTTTCTATATATATAATAAACTAAAAAATTTTTTATTTGCTTGTGTTATTTTATATTCTCAATCTATAATTGACTCGTTTATTTCATGCTTATGTCTTACTGCTTTACATTTTTGTATGCTGCAATCTATAAACGACGATCATTTATTTTGATCCTTGTTGTTAATTTATCGTGTAAAAATGAGATAATCGAAAGACTCATCCTTCAATTATATTCAAAAGCACGTGTTTGCTTTTGATTGACAATTTATCGTTGTAATAATTTGTCGTTTTGTTATAATTCGTTCATTTGCACTCGTCGCGGTTGATTCTCGCCGCGGATCGCAAGAAGTGGCCCAGAAGAGCGAGCAGCATTAACGAACCGGACTCGGAATTAACTGACCGATACAACTCGGCAGACCACTTTCACGTGCGCAAACCGCCAGATGTACGACCTCCGTTTCTTACGTAAAACTCGGGCACCCGTGTAATCATAAACGAATGATCGTACAAATGTCGAAAATTTCTCATTTCCGTCGAACGTGTCGTTTCTGTTGCAATTTCACTCAATGACATTTCATCTTTACGATCGGACACGAAACGGACGCTCTAACAACTTTAGACAAAATTAGTTTGCTCTTCAGCGCCTAATGATTTTATTAGCTCGCGCTTGCAAAGTGCACCGTAAAGAAAATGAGGATAATTGAGTGTATTTCTTGAGGATATAATTGTATGCCTTTCATAACTCGTGTCACATATTTGGTCTCGAATATTAAATGTATTCAAATTATTAACACATATTTTACATAATTATGTTAAGGCATGGCAAGAATCTTCTAATTAAATTATCGACTTTATTTTTCTAATTTTGTAGAAATAGATAGTTTTGTGAAAGTTAGATAGTTCTAAATTGAAGCAAATCCAAATTGAGAAAATATTTAAAATATCTTTCAATACTTCTATAGTATTTCTTCAGACATCTTTTATGTGTTTGTTGTATTATTATTATTATGTATCTATCCATAATGGCTAATAAAAATATAACAAATATACATATAAAAAATATCTGAAAAATACTATAAGTATGGAAGGTATTTTGTAATATAATACAAATATATATCATATATATATATAATATATATATACATAGATATGTGAATTTAGTTCGTCTAAGAGTTGTGCGTGTTACAAAATAACATTCTTGAAACAGCCGATATAGTATCACCGATCGCGTATACGGCACGAAAAGAATTTACTTTCTATCGGCGCAAGTACGAACGGTCTGCGAAAAATTAAAGCTGATACTTTGATTACGAAACCTACATCACTTAGTTCTAGCATGTAAACTTGCCGCTTCTTTGCCCTCACATATAAAGAAAAAACGTGAGCACAAATATTTGTCTTCATAAAACTATTCGACTCGTAACGAACACTAAATTTTCGTTCGAAGGAAATTTGTTCGTTTTCCACGTGCTATTTGCTATTAGCGAGTATCTCGAATGTAGAGAAGTCATAACCATGTAATCGTTTTGCATTTACCGTGGCATTACTGTAGAACTGAATGGAACAAATGAATCGTCTGATGTCTCGGAGCGATGGTAATTCATGCGCTACAATCATCGAACCTTCCTTGATACTGATCTTTCCCCTCTCGATCCTCCTATGGTGCTTCCATTCATTCATGTGCGCATGATAAATGTATAAGGGAACGATTGTTATTACAATAAAATTATAGTTTTTATAGAAAAAATGTATATATATATATGTTAATAAAAATATATAAATATATTATAGATATTTATAATATTTCAAAATGAGGAAGGTGTAAAAATTGAAAAAAATACTGATTAATTTGAATCATATACTTTGTGCTCAATATAGAAATCTCATCTGTAACTCAATGTAGAGATCTTACGTTAAATAATATTTTAAATACATATAATATAACTCAATAGGTTTTACATAATTTGTGAGGAAATTGTTTATAATGATATGATAAATTTTTGACATAATGAAAGTCCTCTTTTTTTCTCTACTTCTTTATCGAATACACTTTTGTGCAGTTTTCTATGCAATACAGAAACTTGTAGCAACAATACCGTATGTTTGCAATGTTACTTGCAATATTGCTGTAATGTTTCTGTGAATTGTGCTGGAATTTAAAATTAAACAAACCAAAATGTTTACAACGAGGGAGGGACAGTATCGCCTGCGCTGCTTCGAAAATAATAGCGCAGTCGATAGAAACTAACAACCGGCAAGAGTAAAAGTATATTTGAGCAACGCAGGCAATTCCGCTGTACGTTTGATCCGTATGCGTATTTCGATGCGTATCGACCTAAGTACACTCGGTGTGCATATTGGAAAGCATTCATATTAAAATCAAAAGTTTGAATTTTCTGATTTTATGAATTCGGTATAAATATCATGATACAATAAGGTAATGTCACGTCATTTTTATAAATAAAGATACTGTTTATTTTTTTATAAACGTAACATTATGACGATTACCAGAAAAATAAGTTAGAATTATATTACTTTTATCATCAGTTTTTATTTATTAATTTAGTTTTCTTAAAAACAGAGTTGATCTAATTACATCTTATTGAAGTAAAAAATTTATGTTATATCTGGCATAGTTATATATATTCATATATTGTAGAAATTTATACAATAATTAGGTTTACATAATTATTTCTTAAGAAATTAGGCTTAAGAAATTTTATACTTAAAAACTTGACAGTCATAATAATGTAGGCAGAATTTATAATAATAATAATAATAATTCTGAAATTAATATATCGGCATTAATACATTTTTATATATAATACATTTTTAATTACAACAAATTTTTATTAAAAAGAAATTATTTAATTTTCTCTATGTGTATGTACTACATATACAATATATGCACATTCCGTTACACCGTTAAATATCGAATTATAGTAATTTCAAATGAGTTATCTTTAATATTTTTATAGGTCGCTATTACTCCTACTTAATATTTTGTTAATTTAATTGTAACAATGGAGTTAAATAACTTAACTTAGTAAATGTATTAATTATACTCAAATTTAGTTTATTAATTACTAAATGCATTAATATGAACATTGTTTACTTTGAAATTAATCACAGAAATGGATCAATTTACATTTTGACACATATGGAAGTTAAAAATAATAAAATGTTATTTAACTAAAGGGATTTAGTTATCATTTAATATCTAATTATTCCTTTAATATCTAATTAGAATCTTTTAACGTTTTCAAAAATTCTAAAAAAGGCTTTTCGATATTTTTCAGAATGGCAAGGACGTTGAGTTTAATAGTGGCATTGCTGCTGGTCTTCGCTCTTACCGAAGCTTCTCGTGGACAAACTAATCAGGTAATTAATTATGAAAGTAATTGTAACTTATACACATAAACGATGATACATAAGAGATTTAATATCTTTTTAATTCGATACGAGTAATAAACAATTGTTTCACAATTATATGATAATACATAATATAATCGCTAATGATATGGAATTTTTAACTTAAAAGATTAATTTTAGATTTTAAAGCTAAATTTTACACAGAATTATCCAAAAGGAAAAAATTTATTTATGCGTACGCATTTATTATTTAGAAGACGAATAAATAGCTTAAATATAATACATTATATCTTTTGAAGAATATCTATTGTATAAACTTCAATTTCTAACTCTTTGCGTTACATGAAATACGTTATATAACACAAAGCATATATAAAGACACAGATTAAAGACAGGGATTTAAAAGCATAATCATCTATAAATTAATGCACACGAAATGCACGTATGAAGAGACCGGCAAGATCCGCGTTCGCACGTGTTTTGTGTCAAGGATGCGCGTTTGATATCGGGCGTTTACGACATTGCAACCTGCGCGCGTTGCTTTTTTCCCCTTTTTTTTTCATCCTTTTTTCCGCGAAGGCCGTCGACCCAGCGGAACGAGTCGATTCGTATTATTCGACTAAATCGCACGAGTGCAGTTGCACGCGGTGCACGATGCTCGATAATTAGAAGCCGAGAAAGGAAGCAGTTCCTTTATTTACTAGACGCGATTACTCGTATAACAACGAAAGGGAAAATCTTTGCGAATGATTCACGACGACACTTCGTTTCTCATTCTATTAAATCGCACATCACGATTTAATTTAAACATAACGTCGTCTTATATTGTTTCAATTGTGTATAGGTGATATTTTAAGATTTCACTTTGATGACAAATTTCTTCATTGATTTGTAGTTTCTTTAATCAAAAAGAGAGACCTTAATAATTTCCGTGTTATTAAAGATTTAGGTCAACAAACTTTCGAGAAGTATACAATTAAAAAAACAGAAACTTATTATTTATTTAAATTCAAAATTTACTTTCCTAGAATTTTAATTTATAATAAAATTATCCAATTTAACGATAAAAAAAATAGACACATTAACGAGCTTTAATTTCAATAACAATTGTTTTCTTAATTTTTAAAAACTCAATATTTTTTTTACATTTGTGTCATTGAATTCGTTATCGAAATGAAGTTCGAGTTTAATCATCTAAAACAAGTTGACAAAATTTTTTTGATACACATCGAATAATTATAATTTATACATTTAAAACGTAACGACAATGAAAGCGACGATTCACGTAAAAGAGAAACTAGAAATAGTTTGTCACTTGTCAACACGAGTGAGTCATTTGTCTTTCCTTTTCGATCGTATACTCGGATGTCCAGATTCCAGCTATTCGTTTTGCATTTGCCTATAATAATACGATTGCCAGGAAGATCTCGGACGCTTTCGCCGGCTCTCTCACCGTAAAAGTTGTTGAAGCGAGTTCATGGCGTATAAGAATATATATGCATGTATAATCGTCCCTCCGATCAAATAATCTATTAAAAGTAAAAATCAGATTAGCATATACTTTTAATTATATTATCATGAAGCTCGATCATAAATACACCAAATACTAGCTAACACGTACATCGGAAATTACTAGCAAGAAGCGAAGCCGTGAAGAAAACTTTCCCAACATTTCCAAAGCTCGCGTGTTACTATAGCTTTTGTTAAATAATCTAGAAGAATGTAAGATTATTATCATTTAATTTTTAATTTAAATGGAATATTAAAAATGTTGAGAATATAAAAAAAATACGCTGCTCTTCACAATGTATAATAATGATTACGTAATATAATATTAATTACTATTAACCTTTCGTAATTTGAGATATTATTTCATTGTAGAAATATTATAAAATTATATTAATTCTATGAGATTAAATTATCTCGTAAGAACATAATGTATATTTCATAAATTCTCTCTCTATCACTTTTTAATGTATGTCTTATTCGAGAAAGATGAACATAAGGTATTTTCATTAAAGTGAATATAAAACTGTGAAATCAATAATTTTTATCATTTTTTATTAGTTTATTCATTATTGGGTCTATTATATCTGTCGTATGTACATTAACTTCCTCATGTGATTGACTTTCGCATTAAGATGATCATTTATTATCATTAACTATCAATCAATGGACATACGTAAACTGTCACATATAATGGAGTTGAAGCTCCAGCGAACGGATTCGACACGCATGAACTTCTCGCTTATTCCTTCATATTCAGTTTTATGCAACAATATTTGCAACAGAAATATACTTATGTATGCACATATGTATGTTAATGTATACGATAGAGGGAAACTTGGATATAAGTTTTTTGGGAACAAATTAATTTTTACAATTTAATCGTAATAGTAAACTTATAAAAAAAAAAAAACAACAATAATTAAGACTTATCATAAATATTCCAATCTCCAGACTATAAGTGTTCGTTATTTTTTAGTTCCTAAACCGATCCTATTCTGTGCATTATCGTCATCGTACAATCGTAACACGATTGTAGTTCTTACGTTTATCAAACGTACAAGCATTTCACGCACCAATCTAGATATCGAGGCGGCGTAGATATAGCATAGAGCACATATAAATGGAGTGAGAGGATAAGAAGGAAAAAAAGAGATCGCAAGTTTACATGGACCACGCCTAGTCGTACGCCGTTCGCTTAGCGAACGATATATACCGCGTGATCAAAAATATCTCTCTACCATGTACTCATTCTATTTTCGTAACGTTACAGTTTGTTGTAGCAGTATAGTTGAATATAATAAGTAGAAAGTAGAATATAGTAGAATATAAACGATCGTAGCTTGAAAGTTATAGCTCTATGTCGTCAATTGTTAAGTAGATATTAATCACGATCTTAATTACCTGATATTTAATAATCAAATCACTTAAAAATATCTCTTCATCACAATCACAATCTATTTAATTATCTACTTAATAATTTAATTATTCAAAAATATCTTTATTTGCTTATTTATAATTAAATATATTTACGATTAATTATAGTAAGTAAAAATAAAAGAATATATTGTTGAATAGATACAATTCATTAGTTCTTCTCTGACAATAGTCGAGTAGATTGTATTAACCACGATCTCTTTAATTATCTCTTTAATAATCTAATTAATCAAAAAGTCAACACGCGCGAAGTCTGAAGAGAATTAAGATTGTGTCGATGCTACCCGATCGTTAAGTTCTAGATTGGACAATTTCATTTTCATTATAGTATTCGCGATTACCTACAACGCGTATTCCTTCGGTGAACGTAAGCGTGATGTTGATAATTATTCCGCTGTATGCACTGACGATCATAATCTAATGGAAGCAAGAGCGAGATGATTTTCTTATAGATTTAATAACGCATTACGTAAGACAAACATTTCTTATTCCAGGACAACTTTTTTTTATTATTGAGTAAGTGCTTACAAAGCGTCGTCGACATCTTTCGTTTCATCATAATAACGGATAATTTATGTAACGGTATGAAGATCTCGCGATTTGTAAATCGTCCCGACGGAAATCGGCGCACACAGTTCAAGGCGGACGCCTCTTACCACGTCATATGTAATGTCCTATGTGTCTTTAACTATTAATGTCCTCAGAAATGTAGTTTAATAGATCATTCTTGAATTAAACACGGAGATGTACTCGGAATAATCACGATAACGCTAAGATGTCGAAACACAGATTATTTGCATATTCTGATACTCATTATAGTTTAATATTACAATGAGACTACAGTTTCAAGTATAAATACTATACTACTTAAGTAGAACACGGAAGTCATGATAATATTATCACAATCTTATTTGTCATTTATACTCGTAAGTTTATTTTTAAGTGACTAATGACGTCATAAATATGATTGATGTACTATAATATCATTATGATTTAATTATAACTTTGTGTTTCAGCTGACTATTGCTTTCCTATTTCTCTATAACATTTTATAATTTATTATAATTAAGACATAAAATTGAAAAATATAACACACTGAGTTGCACACTTTTTATACATGAGCGAAAGTATTTAAATCATCAGTGAGAGTCGGTTACATTTTGTCGATTTCTCAAGCTTGTATCTTGATCCGCTGCTTCCGATCGGCGAGTGAAGTGTCAGAGTCATTGATTAACATCGTAATCAATTCTACAAATGGATATCAGTCGCGAGGCCTTCTTGCCTTCGTATCTTTCCCGATAGGCGGTTGGTGCGAGGCCTTTAATTAGAAAAGCAAATTACGCAATACGCCCTAGTAAAACGTGCGATCGATATCTAACAAACGTTCGTCACGCATGTCGTAGTATATACCCTTTGCCCGAAGGAACGCTTTATAATTTAGCTCCGTATGATTAACAATCGACGTTTCAGCACTTTCGTTCAATCTCGAAACGTGCTCGCGTACGTGCGCACGCGGTTGCGTATATATCACGCTAAATGCACGCCTATGATGCTTTATTGCGTGTACGAGTACACAAACGCGCACCGACGAAGTGCACGTCGCAGACGGATGTAGCACGTTGCACAAGCGTGCGCGAGTGCGATCTAAATCGAGTTTTCCATCGGAGAAAGCGCTTCTTCTGCATCGTTTACCTCAACAGACTTCCTGATTTATTTGCCATATCTCCCTGTCTCGTCTTTATTTACTCGGACAGCTTCGTCTAGTGCGAAGAGATTAGGATGCACATCATTAACGTATGGCAATCGAACTTTATCCGACATAGTGTTACAAGGTATACTAATTGGGTGATACTGTTGCGATATATTAATTACATTAAGAATACAGAGAAGAGAAAAAATTATGACTAATTATATTCTACAAAGTTAATTGAATGTCAGAAATAACGTAAAACTTACATCATTTTTTTTGTTATGAAAGAAAATGGAAACGAAATTTTATGTTAAAAATATTAAACCAAGAATATTTGAGTATTTCATATTTATGTATTTCATATGAGATAATAAGA